CACACACGAACACACATACACACGATTTCCTCCATGTCACCCTCACACACTGACGACCAACTCTTCACTTCCCATTCACCTTCCACTCGACCAGTGGCCTGAATTCAGCACGATGGCATTAGACGATCGCCTTCCTCAATGTTGTACACCCAAACAATCCATCTCGCCATTTTCTCCTGCATATTCGTTGAGCGATCGACTCTCCGTTGGTTCATTCATTCATTCATTGTCAGAGTTTCTTGTTCACTGCTAATTCTTTCTGGCCAGCCGGCTGGCTATTCGATCTTCAGTATGGAGGCAGCCAGCCAGCCATCGAAGGGTGCAGCTGTTAGAAAGTGTCTCTCTCCAGGTGTCTGTTGGAAGCGCTTTGCGTGACACACGTGCAGTGCAAGTTTCTGACCCGTGTATAGAAGAACTGACCGACTTCACATTGGTGTAGAATGGAATCTGAATCTGAATGTTTATGCTGAAGCGAAGCGAAGCGCAGTGGAGTGCAGAAGATTTCTGAAAACTGGCTTCAGGTTGATGAAGGCGAATCTTGCCTTTCCGATTCTGGCTGGCTGGTTGGTTTTTTGACATCTTCATCCGTTCCGTTAGCTAGCTGGTTGAAAGCGTTCTTCTTAGCCTGATGAGTGAAGGCAGGAAGTAACCTCTGTTGAATCTCTTTCGTTGATGGTGATTCGTGTTGTTTGTTGATGTTGTTGTTGTTGGTGGTGGTGGTGTTGATGGTGTTTGGTTATCTTGATCACCTGCGTATTCTCTAAGTTCACTTGGATTCCTGTCTTGGCTGCCTGACTGGTTCTTCTGTCTTCGAGTTTGTGTGACGCTAGACATGTATATATACATATATATATATATATATGTGACATAACCTACTGGAAACGCTCTCTCACCGCGCACATACAGCCATCTTTCTGAACTACACTGAAGAAGTGATTCATTCGACACTGATGTTGATAAACATCCAAATTATATTGTTTATTCTAATTTCAGAAGGTATCTCCAATAGTTTCAGAGAGATGAACGTCTGACTTGCCTCTCCAATTCTCGTTTTGACATCTTCATCCGTGTTATCACCTATCACTGAAACGATGCTATCTAGATAAGTGAGACAAGTGACCCTTTTTTAAATTTATTCCGTTGATTGGTACTTGGTGTAGTCATTGTTGTTGTTGTTGTTGTGGTGGTGGTGGTGGTGGTTTTTGCTGTTGATTGTTTCGTTATGTTCATCACTACCGTAGTGAGATTTTCTTAGTATGGACTCTCTGTAGTTGAATACTATCCCAGACTGTCTTATATCAGTTCGTTGAATAACCAACCGTCTTTTAGACAATGAATGAAATGACTTCATTGAAACCATGAATAAATAAAAGACTGATGACAGGATTTCATCATGAGCCAACACTGATTAGCGAATCATCGGGAAACCACCTGGGCGTAGTGGACATTTGTTTCGTCAATGTTTGGGACTGTTCATCAGTACACACACACCCGCCCCACTCCGGGGTTCGAATCGATGTCATTTCATTATGAAAAGCCTGTAACCAATCAAACAAATCTCTACAGACCAACATTTGAATATCACTGAGATGCTCACTAGTGACTTGTCCTATTCAAGAAGTAGGCAGTTACCCGGCGTTCTAGTTGGAATTCATGACCAGTAGGTAGGGCTAAAAGAAGGTTGTGTGTGAGAACAAATACTCGCCAGTGACCGCACTCGCTAGTGAATTCGCTGTGGCATGTGTGAATTGACAGAAGTTAAAATTCATGGACTGCCCTTTGGACCCAGATCTCCTACAGACTTCTAATCAGTGGTCCAGAATGTTCGAGTCTCCTCACTCCGCGCTGTCTGATGCATAATCCAGTCCACCACAATTAAGAATATCTGTGTTGGTGATAATAAGCGGCCACTTATATATATATATATATATATATATATATATATATATATAAAACACTTTTTAAGCAGTCGAAATATATTTTCGGTAGATTTTGATGTGTTTTTATAATTGCGTAATAGGCTACTGAGTCTGATTGACCTCTCCATTGTGCATTTGTAAATTTAACTGTTCTTGTAGAGACAGTCACATAGGTAGAACCGATCGGCAAGCTTATTGTCGCCTTCTTCAGAATTCTGCAATGATGGTTATGTGTAATGGCCATAAAGTCAATCAGGATTTAAATTTCTGAACATCTTCTGGATAATGATTACAAGATTTATAAAAAAATTCCCGCCTTTACACAATTCTATACAAGACACCTCCTCAATTTCCTAAGCTGGTACACCTTCCATTGCTAAGCATAGCTGAGGCAGTTAATTATAAAATATTTTCAGCTCAGCTTTTGTGTTCAGACGAAGTATCTTCAATCCCTTTCTATTCTACAGCCTTCATAGCCCAACCTAGACTATTTATCCTGCTGACATTGAATAGATGCATATTTAATCCTAATTTCAAAATTTATTTTCGAAGGCTGGATTTGTTTTGATTTGTTTTTCGAAGTACACGTTAGAACCCATGCACTAGCTGGCCACTGAATCAGGCAGCTCCAAGTTAGTGACTGAATGGTGTACGAGCTAGCTCGCCTTGTAACCACAATGTGATGGGTTCAAGCCCGAATATGGTGGGTCTGTCTGTCTGTCCGTTTTCGACATAGAACTTTGCACAAATGTGCGGAAGTTCAAGTCGCCACACTCCCTCCATGTAGCACACAAAGCAAGAGAAGAAAGTACAAGAAAAGCATAATAGAGACAGTGAGCAGAGGTGTGAGACAAAGGAGGAGTAATAACGAAGAACAAAACAGTTTCATTGGAGATCATAAGTCACAAGGAGTGGATGCATCTGCATCAGCCAGCCATTGAGAACGATGAGTTTGAGCCATGTCATCAATTGTTTCCAACCATTGATTTTTACCGTCCCGAGGACCCCAGCCTGGAAGTCTACACCTTCCTACGTGGCTTAGACTAACTGTTGTGGATTTCATTGACTGGTGAGGTCAAGTTTTTGTTTGACCACCACTAGCTTTTTTCTAGCCTGTTCCTATGTCCGCTAACATTGCTCGTCGAGGAAGGCGATGACTAGGCTGCCATGCGTAACACATGTCCTAACCATCTCAGTCTTTGTAACTTCACAACTTCGTCGATTGATTTCCCCTGTTTACCTAGAACTCGACCAACGCCTAACCTCAATATTGCTCACCTTATTATGCCACTTCACACACACGGGAGATAGAACACAGGCATCTATCATCAAAGACAGCTAGCTAATCTTTTCATGTCTTCCACTCTCAGTGGTCAGGTCTCACAGCCAGCCAGCCAGCCATAAAGGAGGATGGAGTGGACTGATGAGCAGTACACTCGCCCTTTGGTCGATAGTCGAACATCTCGTCTACGCCAGAGTCAGCGTAAACTGGCAAATGCGAAACGAGCCCCCTGTATTCATGCTGAGATTTCGTCAGAGATCAATCCGTTGGCACTGGCTGATGGTACTTCCCAAATAAGTGAAGCTGTCAACGTGCTCCACCAACCACTTCCTATTTTTAAACTAGGCGTCGATGTAGTCCAGTCCAGTCCTGTAACATCATCTTGCATTTGGCTGGAGCGAATCGCTTGCATGCCAAACATTCGTAGATTGCGGCTCAAGATGGATGGGTGCGTACTGCTAAAGAGCGAGTCCCAAACTAGACTGACGAAACAGCTGTCAGTCAGTACACTCCCTGTGGCTGGTTTTCAATACTTCTCTAACTGATATCAATCCATGGTCAAAGTTAAAATTTATTATCATTATTATTATACTCAGATTCTCCATTGATTACATTTGATTCTCTTGATTCACACTGTTTTCCAAATGTCTATAAATGATACTATATTATGTAATTGTAAATCCTGATGAAAATTTACCGGAAATATGTATTTGATGGCTTAAATCATGTTCAAAAGTTATTTTAATGGGGATATTCAAATTATACATATAAATATCGTGTATTCTAAAGTTTCAGTTGATATTTCCACTTTTTAAGGCAAAGTAGTTTGCGTTTCCAAGACTTTAACAATCCTGTCTGACTGGTGAATTTCATCATGAGCTGACATCGGTTGGTTGGAAAGCCATTGGAAAACCAGCTACAGAGAGTACTGTCAGACAGCTGTTTCCTCTATCCTAGCTTCGGCTAGGCTGGCTCCACCCAACGACAATGTCCGAACCCAACATCCTTTGGTTACACGATGAGCTAGCTCGTAGAACATTAGGCAGCCACCCACTGGGACCCGACTTTATCCAATGGACGGCTAGGCAGTACATGAATTTTAACTTCTGCCAGTTCACGAACGACATAAAATAACGCGAACACTAGCCAATATCTTCGGTGAGTATTTGTCCTCACACCCAACCTGCTGACCCTACTGGTCACGACTTTCCACTGGGATCCTAGGTGACTACCTACCTGAATAAGGCGAGTGGTTAGTAAAGTATCAGATCCCAGTGGCCAAATGGTCTACAAGATAGCCTGTCTTGTTACCCGAAGGTGGAGGTTTCAAATCCATTGTAGTGGGGTGGGTGGGTGCGTACTGCTGAAGAGCCATTCCCAAAAAATAGGCTGGTGAAACAACTGTCTGGCAGTACTCTCTGTGGCTGGTTTTCCAATGATGGTGTTCTGGTTCTCTAACTACCAACCGATGTCAGTGCTCAGGATGAAATCCTCGAATCAACCAACTAACCCAGTCGAACAAAATCCCTACAAAATCAACACTTGAAAATTCTGTCTGAAGCAGATTATTATCATCACTGATATATTGATATCATCGCTAGTGTTAATATTTGTGTTAGGAAGAGGCGAAACACATGCAATTATCAAGTTATTAACGTGTCCTTGACATGCATTTGTTTCTGCTTTCTGATTGGACGCTTGCACAATACCAAACTCTCAACCGGATTGGTTGATTTCCAGTCTACCTTATTTTTGTATAAATACAGTCACTTTTGTCATAAATACATAATTCTGGTTTTATCGCTGATTATCGCGTGTTCTGCTTTACCAGATAAGTGGGCACTGGTCAGTAGTCAAGCAGTTACCTCGAGACAACGATCCAGCATCATAACAATTGGCGACGCGGTTTCGAATCCAATGCAGTTCAATACAGTCAAATAAAACCCAAATCATCCAGTGTACATCCAGCCTGTCTACCAAATGACAATTTCATTTGAACAAATGCAACTTCTCCTTCATCAACAACAGCAACAGGTTGAAGCTTACCAGCTCAGCTTGATTGAAAAACTTACGAAGCAGTTTTCAATTCAAAATCTCGGCAGTTCCAACTCAGAGAAAACCGAATCTATTTGGGAGTTCAATTGTAGAGTTCAATTTCGAACCTTCAACAGGCGTGACGTTTGAAGCTTGGTTTCGACGTTATGAAGATGTGTTCCGGGTTGAATGCGCTCACCTAAATGATTCGACCAAAGTGAGACTACTCCTTCGGAAACTTGGTTCAGCCGAACATAACAATTTGCTTTTGTTTCTTAACAATACATACAATACTGTATCTCATTTGATGAACGAACGACAACTAACAGTGGAATCCACAATAGCACTCATTTCGCTCTATTTTAGTTCTCATAACCTAGAGAGAGAGTGTGTACAACACCTACATCTCTCCCCGCGTCCACAAGCAGTCAGTGAGTGACTGACTGACTGGCTGATAGTATTCTCGCTGAAACTCAAACCCACTCACCATCTCATCCTAGGCAAACACGTTGTCAATAAAAACAAAAAAAAAAAATCAAACTGAATCGAACAGAAACATCAAAAGTCAATTCAAAATAGAAACATTAATTGTAGAAGTTACTCAGTTAGGTTGTATGTTAACAATTCAGTGATACAAATTCAAAGTGTTTTTACGACAGATTATGAAAATTTTAACGTAGTAATCATCGTCATAATAATAGTAACAACAGCAATAATAATAATAATAATAATTATAACGATAGAAATATTACATCCGATCAGTGGTCATTAAGTGTTTGTTACACCCGGTCATCTTCTAGGTCACGAGAATGCTCAGCAAAGTGAGAGAGACACGAAGCGAGAAATTGAAATAATCATAGTAATAATAGTAGAGTGGAGTATACTTTGAAATGCAAGACAGTTAAACATTGCCTAATTTATATAAATTATAATTAACACAATAAATAGAGAGAATGTTTCATTTTGCGATTATAATACACAAGAAGGTGAAGAAGCCAAAGAACAATACCAACACCAACATCACCACCGCCAACAACAACAACAAAAAAAAGAATAAAAGTCTTTATATTCTCAATGAATAGTCAAGTTGTCAAATATCATCATTTTGTTTCCATTTTGTGTCTATTTCACCTGTTGACAAATAATATTGAATAACAACCGCCTTGATAAAAAAACACACAAAAATATACCTAAATATACGTTCACAAACTTTTGATTAGACTACGTACGCTTTGTTTCTTTGAAGTTTTTTGCGATTTACAATGTGATAGAATTCAATGGTCGAGTTTTCTGTTGTCTCCATTGACTTCCACCAGAATAGTGTGGTATATTTTGATGAATATTTTCAGTCATGACATGAAAACGCATTGAATTCTTCTTAGTTGCTTGTTCGATTATATTACGTTGATTTCTATGTGTTGATAATGTTGTTGTTGGTTGAATTATTCTATTGATAATGCTTAATTGTGGTTGATAAACAACTCGACCTGGTCGTACATGCCATGTACTACCTATTCGTGGTTTTTGTGAATTTATTGAACCTTGTGATAGGAGACTGGATGTATGCACTTTTGGTGTCGTTGTTGTTGTTGTTGTTGTTGGTGGTGGTGGTGGTGTCAGAGAAGGCGGTGAGGATAATCTAGTCTTTAAAACAACTGAATTTGGTGAATGCAGATTATAAGTTATATAGGGTGGACGTGGAGCAAAACGGTTCTTATTAAGCATAGGCATTGCTGAACTCTTAAACTGTTGTGGATAGGTATATGCAAATCTCCAAGGTAATTGGGAATTCTCTTCTCTGTTAACGGAGAATCTTTCATTATGTCTTGGATAAAAGTTATTCCGTGGATATACTGTAGGATACGTTTGTCGTATAGCTGATTGTTGCTGTTGTTGTTGTTGGTGGTGGTGTTGTTGTTGATAGGCTTGTTTATGATGCTGAAATGGACGCGTAGACTGATAATTCCCCATCATGTCAGAATGACGTGTATCGCCAAAATAACGAATTCTTCCTGTACCCCATGCAGGTGGAAAGAGATAACGATTTCCGTGGAATGGTTGATACTGTTGAAGCATTTCATTTTTACCATAATAAACGCTTGAAGACGATGTTGATGTGGCGACTTGATTGATTAGTGCTTGAGAGTCGATTTCATGTTTAGGCAGTTTGTATCCATATGGAATCATTTGGTATTGAGCTTGGAATCCTTTACTCCCTACTGTATCATCACTAACAAATTGAAGATACAACTGGCCAGAATTCGATAAAAACGTATTCGGGAGCTGAAACCAACCAAAAAAAAACAAAAAAGAGCAAAAATTATTACAGCAAAATTTAAAATGTAGCCATCCATGAAATGTGAACTCACTGCTGACCTATTGCTATGCCGAAGAAGACGCTTTACATCAATGTGGCGTCCCTCTGGCTGACATCTGAAAGAGAAGAATAACTAACGCCCCGAAAAGAACATTTCATGCTGCTGCCTCCTCCATTGATAAACTATCGCATTTCACCAAGTCTATTTTGTATCCACCTACCAATTTACTTACTCTTGTGGAGTCAGCAAGATATATGTAAATCGTTCGAAGAGTCAAAGATTATTATTGCAATCGGATAAAAACAAAAAGTAACAGGGGATCAATAAAGAGTGTTATAATTGAACATTTAGTCAACACTGGTCATTTAAAGTTCATTGAAAGTCATCTACAAAGTCAAAAGAAGCCTCTCGTTGGAAAACACTAAGCTTCTGTATACTTTGCATTATCCAATGTGGCCTTAGCGATCCACATAGAAAACACGCTGATTTATGCTCAGAGAAGAAGAAGAAACTTCTCCACCACCGCCTCCTTCCCCATTTCTACCTAGAGTGTAATTCCAAGTTCTACGACTTTGTTAATAATCTTTTGTTTTCTATTTGTTGAGTTTTTTAACTTTTTGTATGGCATCTTAGTAACATCTTCTTCGTCTTGACCAACCCTTGATTTACTCTTTCTACCTATTACATAATTTCACTCTTTTGGACACGTGTCTCTGCTAATATCCTATTTCATATTACGCAACCCTTGTCAATACTTACCAATATTCACCCACCTAGTTACATTTTGATGACGTGAACATTAATATATGTCCAAACCAAGTTCACTTTTAACGGTTTGAAAAAATTTGGGCATTGGGTATATGATATTCATTGTAATAAAGGCTTTTGTATTTCCCAATGAATGAAAATCAAAACGATATTGTCGTTGTTTTACTGACGTTTCCCTACTTAATGCTGCTGCTAATAGCTTTATCAAAGCAGTATTATTAAACCGAAAACTACAAAATCCACTCAGCATATATATAACAAAGAGTTAGGGGGTGAGAAAAAGATACATAGACTTAGTTCAACTTAAAAGGACATATTGAAAGTCAAAATAACAATGAAGATCGTTCAAACCAAATATCAAAGGTAATAGTATATCTGTTATTATATCAAAATAAAGTTTACTAACTTGATCATTGTTCGTTAGTCTGGGATCACTTTTTGTTGTCAAGTTGGTGAATTGGTAAAGGTAACCAAACTAAGTGTAGATTGTGAAATACTTGATTATCGTTCGTCAGTATGAGGTCATTTTGGTTGTCAAGTTGGAGAATAGGTAAATGTAACCAAACTAACCAAACCTCTGTTATAATGACGTGAACAGTAACTCTAACTAATTTTTACTTTATTTTCGTTTGACAATCCTAATGTACACACACACACACACACAAAATAATTATATATATAAATGCGATTGTACACTTGAGCTAAGTGATGAATGAATTCGCCGCCGGCGAAAAGAGACTCTTCGTTGAACTTTGTTGCTCTTATATTCATATCTGTACGAGTATTTTCCTTGGTTGATCTCGAGGCGAACAGTCATAAAAATCAGAGTGTGCTGTTTCTCTACATAAAAATGGTGATGACGACGTTTATTTACAAAAGAACTTGACTTGAAATATCTTAGTTTGCGAATCATCTCCAGTAAGCACCCACCAGAGTGGGATTCGAAATAAGGACCTTCTGGTTACAAGGTAAGCTAGCTCGCATACCATTAAGCCACTCACTGGAACCCGCCCGATCCAATTGCCAGGCAGTGCATGACTAGCACAACTAGCACCAACCAATGTCATTAGTGAGACATCCATCCTCTCACTTTCGACTGGAAGAACCCCACTGATCATACGACTTTTCAGTAGAACGCCAGGAAACTCCGTCCTATAGTTAGTTGTCACTAGAGAGCAGCATCAGATTAGTTTTCAAGAGTTTGGTTTGTAAGGTTTAGATTTGTTGAAACAAGTTTGTCCACAGACTGAAAACCAGCCACAGGGAGTACTGGACAGCTGCTGTTTCATTCTAGTTTGGGAATTCATTATCTGTAGGCACCTAATTTTTATGTTATTCATTCAGTATGTAGTGTCATGTGGATGTTATCGAATTGTAATCCGTTGATGTTATTATTATTATTCTTACTGTGGGTGTGTACTGATGATAATTCCCGAACTAGGATGAAACCGCAGCTGTACAGTACTCCCCGGTTTTCAATGGTTCTCTAACTGATATCAATCAATCCGTGATCAACTCGTAGAAACATAACTGACCCTTACAAACCAAACTATAGAAAGTTAATCTGATGCCCGCTAGTGACTTGCTACAGGTTGGAGTTTCCTGAGTTCTAGTGAGAAGTAGTGACCAATGAGGTCCAATTAGATGTCATGTGTGTGGATGGATGTCCCACCAACGACAATGGTTGGGATCGTGCTAAATCACGAATTGGTAGAAGTTAGAATTCATGGACTGGTCATTGAAGAATCGGATCCCAGTGAGTTGCTGAATAGTATACGACCTGGCTGGCCTTGTAACCGGAAGGTCCTGGGTTCGAATCCCATAGTGTGGGTGCGTACTGACGATGATTCCCAAACTAGGTTGATGAAACCGTAGCTGTCCAGTACTCCCTGGATTTCAATGGTTCTCTAACTGATATCAATCAATCCGTCATCAAACTCGTATAAACAAATCTAATCCTCACAAACGAAACTTTTAAAATTAAAAATATCTCCCATATAAAATGAAGCGTGTCAGTTTATAGGTTTGAAACAATTTTCTGTATATGTGTATTCATGGACAGGACTGAAGAGAAGAGATGAGCTCTTTTTGTGATACACATCCATCATTAGTATCCTGTTTTCCAGTCTTCCACTACCAGTAGGAGGGGTGTGTGTGTGTGTGACAACTAATTACCAGCTAAAATAAAGATAATACAAACCCTCAGTCACAGGGTTAGAGCTATGCGGTCAGAAGAGGTAATTGAAGATGAACTAAAGATTGATTGATTGATTGTATATGATACCTCTTTGATTGATTGAAAACAGCTGGCTATCCTGACAAATTCATCAAGAAATACACGACAAAGAGAAGGTAAATGGACTATTCAATATCCATAAACAAGTGGCCTTTATACATATGACTGCTATTCAAGTACGATATTCCTTAGAGAAATTATTATGAAATAGTTAAGAAAATTAGTTCACAGAAGTTTTTGAATGCTGCCAGTCTAATAGTCCTATTTTCTAAATGAGCGATGGTGATTCCCTTATTGGTAGGTGAAGTATGTAGACTAGCTAGGCACTTCTAATTGTATCTACCATTTCAACTGAACTTGTGATGAAGCGAGTTATATTGGCCTCTGCTCTAGGAGTTTTTGATTTTTCAAGCTCACTTGGGAACATCTACCAGTATGGTTAAATAAAAGTAGTGTAAAAACCATCATCAGTTCGATATTAGACTACCTGGTCAAAAACCGAAGGGCAAAAAAGCCAGCCAACATTGAAGAATCCCTCTTCTAAAAAATTGCCAAAAATATTGAGGTACTTACTGGATACTCCAAACAACAGAGGTTATCGAGATTCGCCTGAAACAACCGTTGATCTGTGTTTGTATGCTGAAGAAACAGTTCAGACAGACAGCCACTACTACTATTGCCTTGTCCGGCCTTCAGTGGGGACTATAAATTCATGAAGTTGTATTATTATTATTCCTGATTTGTCTGATACTCAGTGTAGCGTACTGTTATGCTGATGACATCAAACTGTAATCCACTTTTTGATGTGGTTTTGTTCTCTGAGCTGGATGGTTAATTTGCGAAGCTTTCATCACCCTACTGGGTGACATCTTCCTTCAGCGCATACTTCAATTCGAATTGAAGTGAGCTTTCAGATTTCTCCACGAGTTTATTATCCATCCCTCCTGGTGGGTGACTTTGGACATGATTGCTTGTTTATGTGTGTTTTCACAACTTCTAGGTTACCTGTATTGGAAGTGATTGTTTCTTTGACTTGAACTTTGACCCTTTGTATGTGTGTGAAGTTTTTTTCTTATTGGTTGATAAATTTTGTCTATCTCGATGTGTCTATTGATTGATGATTCACTGGAATGCCAGCCAAGCTTCTAAAAATTCTCTAGCATTCTTGTTATTTCCTTTGTCTAATATTTCAAAGCTGCTTATCCCAGTCGAATTGATGTCCGTAGTTGTCTGTGTGTAGTGAAATGAGGGAATGGATGTCATATCTTTTGACGGCTAGCTTATGTTCGCGGATACGAAGACGAAGGGGACGTCCACTTTGGCCAATTTAGTTAGTGTTTTTTGCAGTTGTTACAGTTTATTTTGTAGATGATGTTGGTTTTATCTTCTTTCGCTATTGGGTCTTTTGGTTGACATAGAATTGAGTGAAGCGACTTTGTTGGTATGTGTACGACATCAATTCCTAAAGGTTTGAAGAGTGTTGCAGTGATTTCTGAGATATCCTTTATATATGGTAAGACGGTTTTCTTTGCGCTTTCCTTGGTGGCTTTTGTTTTGGAAGGTTGGCTTGGGGGTATATGTCTTTTGATGTAATTTCGTGGATATCTATTCTTTTGGAAGACGTCCATGAGATACTTTTCTTCAATTTTCCTTAAAGTGGGAGTGCTGCAATGAGTCCTAGCTGGCCCACTTCAATAGTGTTTGTATGCAATTCCTTTTATGTGTTATTGGGTTGTTGCTGTTGTAATTCAGGATTTGGTCTGTGTGAGTTGATTTCCTATAAACTTGAGTTTCTAATTCTCCTGTAGTTGTTCGCCTGACTAAGACGTCCAAAAATGGTATTTTGTTCTCGGATTCCTCTTCTCTTATGAATTTGATGTCGTTGAAGACGTTGTTTATACTTATACTATTATTATTATCGATATGATGTTATTTAAACAAACACATTAATGTTGTTCATA